TTCAGATCAAAGCAATTGTCAGGACTTCTCCGCAAAACCAAGATTTTCATGTGCACATATAATTATTTCGTGCACTGTGTACATCAGTCATGTCGATCGAATGTAGAAAATATTTTTAAACACAATTCTATTTCCTTACAATATGAAAGTTACGATGCTGCAAGGTAATAAAATATGGGGTGTCATCGGGGTCACCAATGTAGGCTACATCAGCTGTATTCTGAGCCACATAAAGTGGGCCTGGGACCTCTCTTGAGTCCGATGGAGCAAGGAATAGTCTTGGCCCTCTACAAGCACGGATTGAGCATCCGTGCTATCGCAACCGAGGTTTCAAGATCCCCGAAGGCCGTCAGGACGATTTTGAAGAACCCAGAACAATACGGGAAGAAATTCAAGGGCTGCAAGGCGGCCCTTGTCGTTGGTTCAGAGTACCGGTTGCTCGTCCGAGAGGCATCCAAGATAGGCTTGTCAGCCCGGAGCCTTAAGACAAGCCTGAATTTGGCTGCCTCTCTTCGAACATGCCAGAAGAGACACATGGGAGCCCCAAACCTACGCTACAAGAAGCGGAAGGCGATGCCAGCGTTGAAAGACCGTCACAAGAAAATGTGACTGGATTACGCAAAAGTGCACCTCGCGAAGCCACCTGCCTGGGACCATATTATTTGGTCTGATGAGAAGAGGTTTAACCTCGATGGCCCAGATGGGCTTCAGCATTACTGGCATGATTTACGCAAGGAGGGGGACACGTTTTTCGCGCGTCGGAACGGTGGGGGTGATGTGATGGTTTGGGGTGCGTTTTCATCTGCTGGTTTCTCTGAATTGGCTTTTCTTTCTGGTACTCAGGTTTCATCCGCATATGTTGAAACATTGAGTAACAACTTGTTTCTACCATTATGCTGATGAATTCGTGTTTATGCAAGATAACGCTTCGATTCCTACATCAAAATACACGAAAGAATGTTTGAAAGATGAAAACGTGAATCTTTTTGACCACCCTCCACTTTCTCCTGACTTGAATCGAATTGAGAACCTTTGGGGCCTCCTAGCGCGACGTGTCTATCGAAACGGCCGGCAGTTTCAATGTGTTGCTGGCCTCAAGACGGCCATATTGGACAAGTGGCGTGGGATCAGCCAAGACTTCGTCACTGCGCTCATTGAGTCGATGCCACGACGTTGTGTGGCCGTGGTGGAAGCCAAAGGAGGTAGAACTACCTAGTAGAGTGATAAAATTGCACATTTGAACAAGCATTTTGTGTGATTTGTGGTGTGGTTCTATTCTTCTGGCGCGGATGTAATGTCATGACAATGCAGATCGAGCTATTACAGACAACAAACGTGATTAAATGATTGATTTCTAACACAAAGCATGTCTCCAGGTGTCGGGC